GACGTGGGATTATGGCAAAATTAATCACGCAGGTGTTCAAATTGAAACCCGTCGCTATTCACACAATCCTGGAGTCTGCCTACCACACTTCTGCAAAATTTCTGATACAAGTCTATCTGTTCTTTAAATGCGTCTCTGATATGTCCTTTCATTTCGTCAATATTCCGGGATTTCCTACTGTATACTTTGTCCTTGAGTACTCACCCAAAAGAAAAAGTCCATAGGGGTACATAGGCCTCTGCGGCCAATCCATCTCTGAGGGAAATTTTAATCAAGACAATCGCAACTCAATAGATTCAATAGACTCTACAACTCAAAACAATTCAATAAATTCAACACATGCAACTAACTATATACCTACTTTTGGACAACCTGTAGAACTAATTATCATTATATAAATAGAAGTGTTTAGACTACACTAAAATCGACTGGAAATGGAAGCGAATGTTTTCTTGTAAATACGTTGTAAAGGTATAAAGTGCTATTTAAAATATATTATGTAAACATAAACAAATTATAAATATTATAGAATACTGTGGTACTGCCGTATATGCAATATTTGAAGGTACCACACTGAAATTGGTTTAATATTTATTGGTTAAAACATCTTTGACTTAAGTTGACTTTAAAAGAATAAAATTCGTTCCGGTAAAACAAATTCGATTATAAAAATTGAAGAATGAGGTTAAAGAAATCATCAAATAAAAAAAAAAACAGTTTGATCGGTAACGTTTCGAGCAATCGTCTTTCATCAGATTAAACATTGACTTATAGCCTTGAATATGTAGTTTGATTGCATTAAGGAAAAACGATTATTTGATCTCTCATACTAAGTTAATCTTATCGTTGTTGATTTTCTGGAGTAAAATTACACAGTGGGCTATCTATATTCTACCCATAACAGGACATCGAACGCGAGATTTTACCATTGTATATCGGGAACTTACCACTGACATACCGTGAGACTCTTATCCTGAAAGATAACAGTTATGTGTATTATATTCATTTTGGATGAATCGCTAAGAACTTGTTTAACGAAATCGATCAAAATTACATCATCATGAGATTTCCTTACTTTGTTCCGTGATTTTCTGTTGTTTTTTTTTATAACTGTTCGCATGGTAAATTCCGTGATATACGGTAAGTAACAATTCTTTACACATATGCTGCTATTTCTTTTCGACAACTGGTTATCGAAATACTGGGTGCACTAATCGACACGAATTTCTCACTGTAAGGATTATGACGCAAATATTTACTAGGTTGTAATCAGATGTCTAAGGAACGAGTTAATTGTGCGTCAAATAAGCAAGATACAGAATGAGATACATTTGTTGCTAAGTATCTAACTATGCCCAAAAAAATTACCAAAATTACTTTTTTGATAAGTTTACAAATTGTTCATTTTTGTTTTACGACTCTGTATATTCTTTATAGAAGCTGTATATACAATAAACAAAAAAGAAAAATATGATTGAAAGAACGTTTCATACGTTTCTTTCGTGATATGCAACGCGACCACTTGAAAACGTCGAACAAACTTTTTTTGTAATATACAGTTAACACAACTAGCAGGACCAGAGTTACAATTATTACGACTTTTATGTTTTTTTTTATCAAAGTTAAAGTAAGAAACGCATTGCTTATGTTCTTAATGGATTGTTTTTACTGCTTTAGTTACAAGAAATGGGCTATACTTGTAAAACACGTTTAATCTTCACGAGCCATAAGTATCAGTTAATTTATAAAATGATAGTATTTATTTGCTTTAATATTCATAATGTTTTATATATAACATTGATATTTTTTGTATTTTATAAATAACACACCGCTGCTACTGTAAACCATTTTATATTTATGTTAAAATATATTATATCTACATGAATCTACATATATCTTCCAATGTCCAAATAGTCCAATTCCGCATCATTTACATTTAAATATATTGACTGAAGTACGTAGCTGGAAGCCGTTTGTTTGGTTTTGAATTTCGCGCAAAGCTACACGAGGGCTATCTGCGCTAGCCCTCCCTAATTTAGCAGTGTAAGACTAGAGGGAAGGCAACTAGTCATCACCACCCACCGCCAACTCTTGGGCTACTCTTTTACCAACGAATAGTGGATTAACCGTCACATTATAACGCCCCCACGGCTGAAAGGGCGAGCATGTTTGATGGGACAGGGCTTCGAACCCGCGCCTTATCAACCTGGCCATGCCGGGCCAGCTGAAAGCGGACACTACTAACTAAGATGCAACGCTGTTATCTTAAACATTTGCTTACTGATGAAGTTTATATCCGAGTTATTCAGATGATCATGTTAAAATACCATCGATGCCTTTAAATAAGAATTTACCTAAAGTAACATAATGGTCAAATCAAAACAAATATAAAATATTCAA